TCGAACTTTCGCAGTGGCATTAGAACTAGTATACTGTTGTCGCTTGCGAAATCAAAATGACGGCGCCGTGGTTGGAAATTTACAGATTAAGGGGCGGTAATATTATAATGAGATCCCTTTGCAACGTCACCAAGGGAGCGAAATCAGACGCGCTTGTTTTTTCAGACGCTTGCAGAAAAAGGCTTACCAAAACAAAGTTACTGGGTCAATCTTTTTCATGTTTCCTTGGTTGGTAGATGCACCGGTGACCTGATTATAGCACTTAAAACCTGGAAAAGTCAGATTTTCATGATATGTCACCTTTAAAACATGTTTATTTCTTCTGTTGATGTATTGTAGACTAAAGAGAGCACCTGACTTCTGGATGTCGAGTTGCAGTGTTGTAGGGTGTTGTGTGATTCCCAGTTTTGTAATATTGTTTTGTTTTGTAATATTGATCAGCTCACTGTAGTTTAAACTTCTTTTTGCATGGCTGCTTATGAAATAATTATATACTTGGACAAGAAATATAGATTTAGATATTGAGGTTTAAATTATTTAAAGGCTAAGAAAAAAAGAGAGCATGGAGTGGTCAGTAGAGGCCATTATATTTGACCTCAGAATCCAGCAACTGACCAATCAGAATCAAGTGTTTCAGAGAGCCGCGTAACAATGTGTTATATCTTTAATATTTTGTTGGATATATTTTATGAATACTCTCCTATTTACTCTACCATAGCACCAGATGCCCCATACACACACTGGAAGCAGACAGTGTTTTATCTGGAGGAATATTTAACTGTGAAAAGAGGAGAGGAGATAGTCGGCACCATCAGCATGAAGCCAAACGAGAAGAACGCAGTAAGAAACCACCTAATTAATAATTAAAAAAAAAAAGTTAAATATGCTTTCAAGACCCATTTTATTTGATCATTTTAGAAACAGTCAGTTGGTTAATATAAGTATAGCCAAAAATATGCTCTCCATATTTAAAAAAATATTTATACACTGCCAGTCAAAAGTTTTGGGTCAATACGATTTTCTAATATTTTGGAAACAAGTTTCCTATGCTCACCAAGGCTGGATTTAGTTGATAAAATATATTTTGTGAAATATTATTAGCATTTAAAATAGCTGTTTTCTATTTGAATATATTTTAAAATGTAATTTATTCCTGTGATAGCGAAGCTGAATGTTCAGTAACCATTACTTCAGTCTTCAGTGTCACAGGATCCTCCAGAAATCATTGCAATATACTGATCTGGTGCTCAAGAAATATTTTTATTATTATCAATGTTGAAAACATTTGTGCTGCTTAATATTTTTGTGGAAACCGGTGATTTTTTTTCTGAAATAGAATGTCACTGTAATGTTATAAATCTCTCGTTGAATTAAATTATTACCTTCTTTAAAAAAAAAAAAATGTTCCCCCAAACTTTTGAATGGTGCACTGTATAATTCAATGCAACTTTCTTATATATTTTTTTTCTTACAAATATAACACAATTTAACATTTCCGCTTCTTGTTTATCTACCCAGCGTGATCTGGACTTTACCTTTGAGCTGGATTTTAAAGGTCAGCTATGTGAGGCCGCTATCGCTCATGACTACAAGATGCGCTAAGTACCCAGCAGTGGCGAGAGACGGTTTCTGACAGCACTCAGAGAAGCAGAGGCAGGGGCCGCTCCGGATCACAGCTACAGCCCTGCTGCTGGGAAGAGACAGAGACAGAGACAGAGACAGAGAGAAAGACCAGGACAGAAGTTGCTATCTCTGGGAGTCTTGCCAATGTTTTTCAAGCAGGGTGGCACTTCTAGCAATAGCAGCCTTGCCTTCGCCAACTCTAGCCTGCACTTGTACACCAACTCTCTGACTGTTCAGGGGCCAACTATGACTACACCCCACTGTAAACAAAAGAATGTCATGCTCTTATGAATGTTAAGTGTTAGTTTATGGTTACTTTGCTTTTACATTAGGAGTGTGAGCTAAGCTATTTAATATTGAAAGTTGTGCTTCCAAGTCCCAGGCATTAATAATATTTTAATTTAACATATCGTATTAAGAGAATAACTCATTAATTTGAATTTAATCACTGCTGGACTTTAACAATTTCAATGCAAAAGAGTAAGAATCTCATAGATTTAAATCATGTTTTCAAGAAATCCAGGTCATTCTCAGAAAATGGTACAGTTATTTGTTAAAAATAATTTATAATATATAATTTTGTTTTATTAAAAAGGTTACTGCATAATCCACTGCTTACTTAAATATCATTGGCCAATGCTGTGAACAGTATGTATATATATATATATATATATATATATATATATATATATAAATTTCCTGTAAAGCATAAGACTATTTATTTATTGCACCTACAAGGTTGGCAAATACAACTGATGAGCTTTACAAAGCTAATATACATGAATACATAAATATTGATAATATTGATAAAGTCTGTTTTCACCACAATGTTTTACCAAAAAGATCATGTTTAAATGTCATGTCACAATGTGCATTTTTTTCAATGTACCAATTATACATAGACCATAAAATAATATTTTAATTTCTATAAAAGCTAAATTAGCTATTTTTATTTAATATTATATTATATTGTGATGAATGGGGACATCCAAATTGGAATCAAATTGCATGGAAATTGCATATTGCTATAAAAACAAAACATTTAAAAAACAGAATTTATGCTTCATTTTAAAAGGTCTGAATTTTACACCAAAGTTAATTTTATAATTTAAAATCATTAGGTTCTGCATCCTATTAATTATATATAGTACATCATGTGGACACCATTTCCTGAGAACGACCCAACTATCATAAAATGAAGATTTGGGGCATCGATAACAGTTCTAAACAGTTTCTTGCCCATGAATATCAGAGGAAACCGAATCAGATGCTAATAATGGAAATTACAAGACAAAAAAAAAAAAAAAAAGAGTGATTGCAATACAGTGATGTGGTACAATTGTAAATTAGTTTTTCTAGTAACTTGATGAGACTGCAATATGTAGTGATAATATTATTTATGATTCTGGATGTGTGATAATTACATTTCCACATACATCTGCTAACTGAGCGCAGAGATGAAAATAGAAAAAAGAAACAGCACAATACATATCAAAATATAGATGGCAAGAGAAATGCTGGCTCTGTCTGCGGTGAGATCTTGATGAGCTGGACTCAGATGGCACGTGCTGCTCTTCACCTGTGCTCTTATTAGAGTCTTTGCCAAGGCCATGACTGGGATCGTCCCGGTCCATCTGTGACCCCCGTGTCACAGCTGATTATGCTGTTCAAGTCCTCACCAAAGACATTCAGTTCACTCGCAAAGCACATTGTTCATTATGCGTTATATTTATTGTTCATTGTTTTTACTATAGATATTGATCTGATTCATTGGTGGAATATTGTGCAATATTGGGAAATGTGAATAACGTTCTTCTCTGTGCAAGGAATGTTTTCCTCTTCCAATATTGTATTTTCAACTGGTAGGGTGTTTGGTATTGAAATTTGAGGTTTACATGTTAAAAATGTTTTAAAATGATTATTCTGCCATGATTTGAGCATCTATCAAGATAATAGTAAATAAAACTGATTAAAACTAATTAAAGCTAAGCAAGATGTTTATAGGTGTACAATAGCATGCCTTATTGAAAGCATATTTGGTGGTTTTTAAAGACCTGTTGCTGTTGTGATAAAAAACATGAAAGTGAAACAAAAAAGACTGAACATTTCTGAAACGTTGGTGATGTAAGTTGGTAAAGCAAATAAAAGTCATGTGTCCATTAACGTGCGGTGTAATAGGCCTACTTGATAGTGCTCTAAATGTAGTACCACTTGTCCTCCACAAGAGGGCTTGAAAAGATTATGAAAAATCTGACAGACTGGCTATGTTTAAAATGGAATACTGTACTGGTTACTACATTTTTCACAGTATGCTTACTGTGAATTTAAGCATGTGATATGCAGTGCTAAATGTTTCAAATACATTGGCACATGACCTCATCACACTGAATATTTCCTTTAACCCTTGTGCGACCTTTTGGACATTTCTGTCCTTTTCAGTTTTGTTTTTTTGATCATTTTGCCTATCGTTCATAAATCATTTTCATAAACCTAAACATCTAGAACTTTTTTTTTGGTTTCACTTTTTAAACTTTTTTTTACTTCAACAATAATCTGCCATGGGTCTTCTTTAAAATGAGACCAAACTTAACTCTGTGCTCCCAAGCTTCAAATTTTGATGACAGTTTTTTGACATGGACATTTTTGTCCACTATGGACCTATGTGTAACTTTTTTTAATTGACGCACAAGGGTTAATATAGTGACGTGACATGACCCAAGTATGGTGACCCATACTCGGAATTAGTGCTCTGCATTTATCCCATCCAAAGTGCACACACACAGCAGTGAACACACACACAGTGAACACACACCCGGAGCAGTGGGCAGCCATTTTTTGCTGCGGCGCCCGGGGAGCAGTTGGGGGTTCGGTGCCTTGCTCAAGGGCACCTCAGTCATGGTATTGAAGGTGGGAGAGAGCGCTGTACATTCACTCCCCCCACCTACAATCCCTGCCGGTACGAGACTCGAACCTGCAACCTTGGGTTACGAGTCCGACTCTCTAACCATTAGGTAATATTGTAATTCTAATCCCATTTTGCATGTGACTGTCTTCCGGCAGTTCAATCAAATAATCAGACTAAAAAGAAATAAAAAAAAAAAAGCAGTTGATATTACTTTTAGATCATTCATCACTCTTGAAATACTGTTATTTTTTTCTTTTCAAGAAAAAAAAATGATGAAATGTCTTTGCAATTGCGTTTTAAAACACTTAAAGAGTTTATTTAAACTGGCAAAACCTGTTGAACCTCAGGCTGAGCTTTCAGAACAAAGCCTTAAATATCTTAATATAATATATAATTCATTGTTAGCTGGCATGCAATGCCTCCTCTTGCTATTTCCCTGAAAGCACAAACTGGAATTAATGCAAACAAAGTATTCTTTATTTTTAACATTTCACTCAAAATACATTTCTATTTAGTATTTACACATTACACATGTACATAAAGCAGGAACATATATATAAGACTAAATGAGTGAGAAATCTAGTGTTATTCTGCCCAGTGGTCATACAGTAGCTGTGATAGATAAATTATGTGTGAATCAATATGAAAACTCAAGTTACAGATCAAGAATCATATTGCGATTACTGAAAAACTTGAAACTGAAAACACAGCATAGGCCTTATCTCAAACGTGCATAAATCCACTCTCTAGTGGATTATTACTGCATCTCTAATTATTTATGGTAAGTGTGAACATCAACAACTGCAGTGAGACATTTTAACTGATTTAACACTGACTGCATTAAATAGCAAATACAGACTATATATAAACACACACATTACTGTTGCCACAATACATAAAATGCAAATCAAAAAGTGATCTGAAATCAATATTAGACTAAATCCATTTAAATAGATCAGTGGTTTATTCAGTACTGTAAAGCGAACAACACCGAACTCTGTTAAAACCGAATCCTTATGCAAACCATATGTTGGCTGCATGGCAGTGTATTAAAAATATTCATGCCGATTACAGCCATTTTTCACAATATGTCTGCTTGCTAGGAATAATAAAGGAATAAGTCAATTCATCATTAGTAATAAATAATACATCTGTGCAAATGACTGTGCTGTAAACAAACTAGCGTGTAGGAGCTTATTTTGCTCATTTAAAATATACTTTCTTAGACCTTCATATTAAAAAAGATAAATTACAACAACTGTCAATACAAAAATACAGGTTTGTTTACTTCAATAGTGTGATGGGTGATTTAAATGACCTTGATAGGGAAACGTTTGACAACTGTAGTAATATACAAAATTATAGTGCTCTACTTAAAGCCCTAATTGCTATTGTAAAAATGGTCCGTTTCACACTGTAAAGAGGTACTGGTATATAAAAAGACCAAACAATTTGAACTCCACAGTGGTCATACAAAAAGAGAAAATGGGAACACAAGAGGAAGAAAAACAGATGAGCATTAACACCAAACCACACTAAAATGCAGAAGCAAAAAGGTTTGAAAGATCTGCAGTGTTTATGGGTGACTTTCTACTAGCAGCAGGACGACTTCTTAGCGTGGCTGTCTACTAGTGACACGGTTTTCTCTTTTTCTCTGTCCTCTTGGTCTTTCAGAACTCTAACAGAGAGTAAAAAAGTAGCACATCTTATAAGGTGCAGTACAACCAAAATAAAATTGTACTGGGAATAACCTGGCTGTTTATGCAGCTGCATATGCAATTGAAAGACATTAAGAATTGTTATGCCAAAAGTCTGTTCATGTACTAATGTATATTGCACTCAAAACTGGAATACGCTTGTGGAAATAAATTATATACTATTATAGTATTTATCAGTATTTTGAATGTGTTTATTATGTTTTTGTAATTTTTATGCTTTCATCATTTTTAGGATTTAAAAAAAACAATACTTCTATAGTCGCTTTAATTTTTTGATTTTAGTTTTAGTCAGTTTAGTCCTTCGACTTAAATTGATTTCAGTTACTTGCCAAGGCAACATTTTTTTCATCTAATATTTCTATTTTATTTCAGCTTTATTTCAATTACCAAATTTTTTTTTTTTTGAAGAGTTTTAGTTAAAAACAACACAAGAACAGATGTGCTTACAAGGTACAAGCTACTACAATAGTGCTTAAAAAAGCACTTGCAAAGTAAGGTTGGTGGCATAAAATGTTTGAAAGATATTCAGTTTTGTTTAAGGAACTACAGCAATGGTTGGTGGGTAGTTCTTGGCCAGATTAAACTGCAAAGTGGACCAACATATATTTCAGCTTTATTTCAATTACCAAATTTTTTTTTTTTTGAAGAGTTTTAGTTAAAAACAACACAAGAACAGATGTGCTTACAAGGTACAAGCTACTACAATAGTGCTTAAAAAAGCACTTGCAAAGTAAGGTTGGTGGCATAAAATGTTTGAAAGATATTCAGTTTTGTTTAAGGAACTACAGCAATGGTTGGTGGGTAGTTCTTGGCCAGATTAAACTGCAAAGTGGACCAACATATATACTTGTAGGCAAAAATCTGGCGTGCACGTGTTCAAAAGCACTCTTCTGTATACTCATTTTAAAAAGAACTCAGAAAATAAATTGGTTAACAGCCTCTTACCTTGCCATGTGAATCATGGACTCTGTCACATTGTTGCTTGAAAAAGCACTGCACTCATAGAAAATTAACTGAAAGTCCTGAAAGAGTGAAAAAAAAATGGCAAAATAAGGTACTTTTAGAATAATGAGTAAAGCTTACTGTATGTCATTCAGTGTGGTTCTTTATCTGCTGAGTTCATTCAACAGTAACGGACAGGAAGCCACATATTGCATCTTTGTATTGTAACTACACATGTAAAGGACAGAAAACTTCCTGCAGAATACTCATTCAGCCCCGAGTCAGTTCTTTTACTTGTTTGTTTCAAGACCGCCATGCTTAAAATGTTTATTGGTGATCCATTAGTGCCACTCCAGGGCCCAGATTCACTCACCTTGGCTAATTTCTCAGCCAATCCTAATGGAACCTCTCTCTGTCCGTCT